AGGGGAGGAGGAGGGGTTGGGGGGAGCAGAGGAGACACGGAGTGAGACCAGGCTGAAATTTGAGGGGGAATCAAGCAGGAGCCGGAGGGAACCCAGCCAGATTTTGGGGACCCCCAAGGGGAGCCAGCAGTACCGGAGGGACACCCCAGCAGGACATCTGGGGAATTTGGGGACACTAAGGGGACTCAGAAGGATGGTGGGGACTCCGGAGGGGGTCAGGGGGATGCTGGGTCACACCCAGAGGGAGTTTGGGGACACTGGGGGCTTTTTGGGGGGCCTGGGGTGAGCAATAGGGACACTGGGGCCATGGGGTGACCCAGGGGACCGCGAGGGGAACGAGCAGGACTGGAGAGATCATGGGGTACACAAAGGTGACACAGGGAGACCCCGTAGGATGCTCTGGGGGTGACTTGGGTGGGGATACTGGACACCCCCGAGGTCCTGGAGAGCATTTTGGAGATCCTCATGTGACGCAAGGAGACACTGGGGACTGGTGGGGAACCCTGCAGTGACCCAGGGAGGCTGCGGGGGGGGGCCCAGGGGGACATGGGGGGCGGGGGGTGGACCCCGGCCCACAGGAACCATGGGGGGACCCTGGAGTGACCCAGGGGACAATTCGGATCATGAGGGGACCTTGGGGTGACCCACAGGAACCATGGGGGGACCATGGAGTGACCCAGGGGACAATTCGGATCATGAGGGGACCTTGGGGTGACCCATGGGGGCCATGGGGGGACCCTGGAGTGACCCAGGGGACAATTCGGATCATGAGGGGACCTTGGGGTGACCCATGGGGACCATGGGGGGACCATGGAGTGACCCGGGGGACATTGGGGACCGTGGAGGAACCCTGCGGTGAGCCTAGGTGACATGGGAGAGCATGTGGGGACCCTGGGAGACATCTGGGATCCTGAGGGGACCCTGGGATGACCCATGGGGACACTGGGGGAACGTGGGGGACACTGAGGACCATGGGGGGATCCTGGAGTGACCCTGAGGGACACTGAGGATTGGGGGGGGGACCCAGGGGGACATTGGGACCGTGAGGGGACCCTGGGTGACCCAGAGGGACACTGGCACTGTGAGGGGACCCTGGAGGGACCCACGGGGACATCACAAACCCCGAGGATAAAGGAGAGCAGGATTGGCGAAGCCCCGAGCACACCAGATCACGCCGAGGTGACCCCGCAAGACACCAAAGACCCCCTTGGGGACACCTTGGGGACACCGGCGCGGACCTGTCGAAGGCCTTGACGCGTCCCAGGAGCTTCTTGTTGTTGCGGCAGTTGATGAGGACCTGGGTGTTGTTCTTGACGGACTGGGTGAGGACGGAGAGCGGTCCCGTGTTGAACTCCTCCTCCTCCCGCTTCTGCAGCTCCTCCGGCGTCATCTCGCTCTTGGGCTTGTTCAGGAGGCTCCTGCGGGGACAGCCAGGGGACATCATGGGGACACCGCAAGGAGGGTGGCATCCAGATGGGGACACGGTGTGCGTGGGGGCATCGAGATGGGGACAGCCTGGGGCAGGGGGGAGAAGACTGGGAATGGTGGTGCTGGGGGCAATTTGGGGCTGGCGGTGGCAGGGGACACCAGGGGTTGGCGAGGAACGCTGGGGACAGGGGACCAGGGGTGGCAGGGGACAGCAGGATGAG